TATGTGCACATGGAAACTCAGAATGTTCTTTTATTTGGAAATAGGGTATTTATAGAGGTGATTAGTTAAGTTAAGGCCATATAAGATGAGAGTGGGCTCTAAATTCAATATGGCTGGTGTCATTATAAGAAGAGAGACATGGTAATCAATGCCATGTAACTATTGAGGCAGGGGGATGTAGCTGTAGTCAAAGAACACCTGGAATTTCTAGCAATCTTCAGAAGCTAGGAAGAGGCAACCAAGGATTTTTCCCCTGTGCCATCAGAGGGAGCACGGCTCTGCCAACACCTTATTTCAGACTTCTAGCCTCAAGAACTGTCAGAGAATAAAATCCTATTAAGTTACACAGTTTGCAGTCATGTGTTATAGAAGTCATAGGAAACTATTTACTCCTGTAATATGCATATTTAACACCAGTTGATTCATCCATGGTCCATAATGGAGTCATGTCTTGTGTTTTTCAAGGCAGTTTTCGAGAGTACATAAACCTTACCTCCTTTTAAAAGAGACAGAACGCTTTTAAGACTGCATAATTATCTCACTCAATATTTTGTCTCAATTCCTACACCAGTTTAAAAAATATTAACATTTTGTTTTTCTTGAAAATTATATATGCTTGATCTCACAACTTCACCACACTCTATTTTTAAGTAATCTTTAAAAGACTTCTTTGCAGCATCCTAAACTAACGTGTTATTCTGAGGTAATTTCCTGGGAAAAATGTTAAAAAATTTATTAAAATTTTTTCCTCATTTTAAATTATTAATTTAAAAGTATGATAAACATTAAAAGCATGAATTGACATTGTTTTAGGTTAACATGTCTCTCTGAAAAGCGGTTTATAGCTAAAAATAATGTAACTGAGAGAATGAGCCATATCAGAGTATGTAAAGATTCAGTGATTCAAACTATGACATCCTATTTCCTGTAAGATAATATTGGGAAAATGCATTGTCCTAATGTTTGAACAAATATGAGTGTTGCTTGACATAACTCACTGGTCAATTCCACATTAATACATTCTTAGAAAGATGCTGAAGCGATTTAAATTTAACAAAGTAATTTACATATTTGTGTGAAAGATTAGATCTTTTGCAAAATTCTTGACTTGTAGGGCTTAGCACTTTACTCTGACATGTGCCTAAAATTGCACATGTAACAATTTCCTGAACACCTAATGAGATAAACACTTAGCTTTTTTTTTTTTTTTAACCAAGTTCTTATTGGTCAGAAACTTGATTCCCATATTTCTATTACAGAATTACATAGCAGAAAATTTAGCAATTGCTTTATGTATTGTTGATTTTATTATTTTTTCTAGATTTAATTACAGATACATAAGGAGAATGCTGTATGCCAAATTCAAACATCTTTAAAATGGGAGGTCAAAAAGAGAAATACCCATGGAAAAGAGAAACCAAGACTGCCAAGCAGCATATTATTATTTAAAATCAAAGTGATAATCTTTTCAAAACTCCACAATCCCGTCCCAACATATGGAAAAAAAATTCAGATTTTTACTATTTTTTGTGACAGAATCTCGCCTTGTTGCCCAGGCCTGAGTGCAACGGTGCAATGTTAGCTCACTGCAACTTTCACCTCCTGAGTTCAAATGATTCTCCTGCCTCAGCCTCCCAGATAGCTGGGATTACAGGCGCCCGCCACCATGCCCAGCTAATTTTTGTATTTTTAAGAGACAGGGTTTCACCATGTTGGCCAGGCTGGTGTCGAACTGCTGCCTTTGTGATCTGCCTGCCTCGGCTTCCCAAAATGCTGGGATTATAGACATGAGCCACCATGTCCAGCCATATTATTTTAGAAGTAACATGTCTCTTCTCTCTTTTCATTTAAAGGAAATTTTCCACTTGTATTCATCTTCTCTGACTTCCAAAAATATTGGTGTTTTCATATTTTTTGCCATTTCCAAGTATTTCTCAGTTATCCACTCAACATATATTGAGCCCAGACTTGTACAGCCATGACAGCATAATCACTTTCTTTCCTTTGACTTAAATTTCGTAAGGATTATTTTTTAGGACAAACTAAATAAACAATAGCAAAAACATTTTCATTGTCTTTGCTTCTCTTTTAGATGGCTGCCTTACATTTTTTCCTGTTCATATCTAGATTTTTGATAAACCCTGCATCTGTTTTTCCTTTTCTTGCTATATTATAGGTCCTCTGTTGTTCTGATGAAACATTCTCTATACTTAATCGCATCCTTCTCTGGGGCCTTTCTCAAATATTATCTTGCACAATATCTCTACTTGAAGCTCTTCATCACCCATTTCTAGAATTTTTCTCTCCTCGTGGCTTTCTGGATAATGTACGTGCTTGCCCCTTGCTTCTCTAATCATTTCTCTGATAAACCTTCCTTATGAGATTTCATCCTTTTCTTTCTTCCTGAGAGTGAGAGCCATTATTTTTGTATTGTCACTCTATACCATCTCAGAAAGCTTATTTATAATCATAGTCTTAGTGATCATTTGGCAATCAAGCCCTAATTTTATCCTTACTTCTAATGCAAGTTCCAAATCATCAAATAAAGAAATAGATTCAATAGGCCACCATCCACTCGAATTGCATGTATTAAATACATGCAATAATAATACATAAAATAATACAGAAGCACTCACCACCTTCCTCTCTAGATAGGTCCTTGTTGATATTTCTAATTCTGTCAAATATAACATCTCCTACTCCCAGGGGGATGAACTGCATGGCTACCAATTACTTTTAAATCCTAAAATACAATCAATTGATAATTCTTACCTAACTTTCTGCTTCAAACAATGCACAAGCATTCTCTCCAAATGAAATTTCAAACTCTCTTAAAATTTATGCTGTTTTATCTTTCTAGAAACCTTTTGCAGGCCACTCTAACATGTAGTCTCTGTTTCTCTCTTTCTCTCTCTCACTCCCCAATCTCCTCCCTCCCTCCATTTATGAATTACAGAAGACTATATATATTCTTGTATTATTGTCTAGCTACCTCTTATATGTAAATCTTATCTTTCTAGAAATCCAACAAGTTTTCTCAGGAGAGCAATCTGTCTATACTTTTCAAATCTGTCTATACATTTACAACTGAGTACCTCATTAGACTTTCCACTGGAATTTTATCATTTTATTTTACTTTAATTATTAGATGATTAACAGTTGTCTTGCACAGCTAGATTAGTGTTTAGTAATTAAAGCTAACATACAAACCTGAAATGTTTTAGTAATCATTTATATATAGTGTACATGTACTTATGTATAAAGTATAACTTATGTACTTACATATAATGTATATTTATTTAAAATTATGAAATTGAAATGGGAAAAGTTGAACCAGAAAAGTATGTTTTGATAAACAGTTGTCACTTATGTCAAACAAGAACCAATGTAACAAAATGATGGCAAGTTTAATAATCTGTGTATGCTTTGGTGCCTATGAAGTAAGCACTGATTCCCTGTTTTACAAATGTATAGAAATACATTTTATATTTTAAAGTATATTTATTGATTGTTATTCTGGGATTTTTACTATAGAAATAAATTATTAAATTAATTTCATAATTTTTGTTTGCACTAAATAGTAGAATATACATGGTTTATATGTAAATTATCTCTCAGATAAATCAGTAATATTTGTCTTCAAGAAATATGGAATGATTTTTACTTTATTTAATAATTCTGGTTCAGTATTGACATATTTTGACTAAAAATGTAATGTCATCATTAAAGTTATTTGCAGGTCATATAATCGTTAAAACCTATCATGTTAAGAAAACAATTGTGGGCATTCGTGCTAAACACATTCTCCTATAAACTCCGTTATTTCAAACCTACACACATTGGTGAAGGCAGTCTTGTTTACGGTTTCTACTGATTCAAATGCTAATCTCTTCTACCAACACCGTCATCAACACACCCATTAATAATGTTTTACCACCTATCTGCCCATTCCTTAGCTGAGTCAAGTTGATACATAACATTCACCATTGCAATTCACCATTGGTTGTCTGCTTGGCACCCATATGCATGTCCTTTAACCCGACTTAGTTTCCAAATAAAGACATAACAAGGCCATAATTCTGCCTTACATAATACAATTATCTTGCATAAAATGGAAATGCGCTAATCCCTTCCATGTCTATAATCCCAGCACTTTGGGAGGCCAAAGTGAGAGAATGGCTTGAGGTCAGGGGTTTGAGACCACCCTGAGCAACATGGTAAGACCCATCTCTGTAAAACATTTTTAAAAATTAGCTAAGTGTGGTGGCACACACCTGTAGTCCCAGCTACTAGGGAGGCTGAGGCAGGAGGATCACGTGAGCTCAGGAGTTTAAAGCAGCAGTGAGCTATGATTGCATCACTTCACCCCAGACAGAGCAAGATCTTGTCTCTGAAAAAAAAATTAAAATAATGTTGCTCAAATATTTGCCCCAAGAATGTACCTATTGAATTAATAGACCAAGAAAACACAGGCATGGCATTTGAGGGGCCATTTCACTGGCTGGATTGCATATATTGGAGAAATTAGTGGTTGGTTTTTAGCTTCTATCTCAAGATCCATTTGTTTCTTGGAATGTGTTTCCTAAAAACAAGCCAGGTGCAGTGGCTCATGCCTGTAATCCCACCACTTTTGGAGGCCAAGGCAGACAGATCATGAGGTCAAGAGATCGAGACCATCCTGGCCAACGTGATGAAACTCCTTCTGTACTAAAAATACAAAAGTTAGCTGGGCATGGGGGGCATGTGCCTGTAGTCCCAGCTACTTGGGAGGCTGAGGCAGAAGAATCTCTTGAACCAGGGAGGTGGAGGGTGCAGTGAGCCAAGATTGCACCACTGCACTACAGCGTGGCAACAGAGCAAGACTCTGTCTCAAAAAAAAAAAAAAAAAAAGAGCAAAACAAACAGGTTTCTTCTGATATTTAAGATTTGGAAACTTCTCCTTCGGAAGGTTCTCATGTCTTTATTTTACATTATACTTTAGTATATAATGTATTGACTTAGTTATTTAATGTATAGTCTTTATTCTACATGTACATTTTGTTTTATCAGATTGTACTGTAAATCACCACAAAACATTTCTGGAAGTAGGGATTCAATTATTAAAGAATGTGTTGTAGTTACTTATTACAAGTCGCAGGAGCCAAAATGGCATGGGTTTAAACTGCTTGCCTGTCACATCAGAGAAAGCAGTTTCAACAAAAAGCTAAAGTATAGTTAAAGTATGCAGTTTTATAAAACTTTTACCATGTCACAAATGCACATTTTAGTCAGTACTAAGCAGTACATTGAGCTTATTTCTGGCATACCTTATATATAGTCACTGTATGAATCAAGCATAAGTTATGTAAATAGATGTTAAATCTTAGGTTCTATGTTGTTCGTTTTATGAGTATTTTATTTCATTGTTAGTATGCTTATTTATTTCGAGTTAAGGAAGTTGCATATTACACTATAATTGAGGTTAGGGTTAGTCCGGTAGATACTATCTCACTACACCTCTGTCATTATAGCACAGTTCATTATCTTTGAACTAAAGGCTACATCCTGTACAACATAAAATCAAATTCCACTATAAATTTATCAAAAGTGCTTTAGATAAGAAATGACATATGGCTTTTTCTTTAGAATTTAATAGTCCTTTTGACCATATGAAGCATTTTTGTCAGGCATCTCAAATTCCAGGTTTTTATATGGCAACAGTTTTTGTTTCTGTTCAAAAACTATGACTTCGAAGGAAGTGAAATATGTATAACCTAAATGTATGATCATTTAATTAAAAATGTTGATAAGTTACATTAATCATTAGCATATTATTTATTTGATCAACAAGTATTACCAGTGGAGGATGTCTAGGTTCCTGGCATTTTGAATAAAGACTTGGACAAAATGCACAAACAAAGCAACGAAGGAAGAACACAGGTTTATTGAAACGGAAGTTCACCCCACTGAGTGGGAGCAGGATTGAGCAAGCTGATGGAGACCACTGGTTACAGAATTTTCTGGGGTTTCCATACCCTCTAGATCTGAGGTTTCCCATTGGTTACTCTGTTTACACCTTATGTAAATGAAGTAGTGGTCCACAACCAGTCTGATTGGTTGCGGAAGGGGACCAGTCAGAGGTACTTTTTCATTTTTCATCTGCCAGGTAGAAAAGGGACAGGTTGCAAAGGGAGTATAGCCTCGATCCTTCTGTTACCTGGGCGAAAAAACTTGGGGTTTTCCTTTAGATTTTATTTTAGGAAGTTAGTGTGAATTGGCTTTAGGTTTCCTCCCTCCAGACCCTGCCTCACGAGCAGTTATGAAAACTTGACCTAGACAAGATTTCTCATTAGAGTGTTATTTGGGAAAAAAGGTGGAATGAATGGTTAGATATAAGTAAATACTCCAAATTTTTCTTACAAAGCTTGTTTTAGACAGAGTGTGGCTTCTTTTTAGACGGAACATGGACCTGAAAATTAATGATAATGATGATAATAAAAATTAACATAAAGATAACATCTGTTATTTATAAATACATTATGTATCAATTTACTATCTAGTTGAATAACATTTAAATTATATAATGTAATTGTCAACATAAAGCTATAGAAATAAACATCTTTATTTTAGAGATGAGGAAACCTAGACACAAAAATATTAATTACTCTGGCCACAATCAAAGGGCTGAAAATGGACAAAAACAAGACAACCCAAAGTATTCTCTTCAGAGGCAACACTACTAACCCCTATAAAATAGATAGTGTTGGCTTCAAAAATATATAATGTCTCACTGGCAATAAGTCTGGTTTACATGGAGATTGGCATCACAATTGATGTCGCAATATGACTGCAGACACTTGTAGGCAAATCCCCAAAGAATTTGAAACACTGTCATTGCATAGGGACACAACTGTTGTTCTAATTTCAATGAGAATTAGAAATGAACCTCTGCTCAAGGGCAAAAAAGAAAGCAAAAAAATACTAAGTAAAAAGAAGCAAGCAAACACAACACAATACAGCACAACACAAAACAAAACCCTGAAGCTGGGATGAGTATTTAATCAGTTAAAATTAGTTAAATTTTCTTTACAGTTGTAGAAGCAGTTACATTTCCCTGATGTGCCACAACAGCTACTTGGGTACTAAAATCTAATGAGGAGGTAAAACGCTTAGATCTAAATGCTCTGTTAAATATATATACTGAACTCTTATTTTGTGCCAGACATTATGCTAGAAAATGTTAACATAAGATGCCAGCAAGACACAAGAAATATAGAGTTTAGTGATATGAATTATGCCTATTAGGAGTAAATTTGAAGTTTGTCAAAACCTGGTGTAACAGAAATATTTACTGCTCACCAAAGAGCCCTGTGCTTCAGAATTATTTTCTAGTCCTTTCACAGGTATGTATGGCTTTGTTCTGGCCCAAGAGCTGTGAGCAGAAATGGCACCTATCACCTTTGCCTCAAAGTATGTAACACCAAAGTATGTGACCCTCCACCTCTTTTTTCCCTTGCTGTGGATCTTGGAGACACATGCTGAGATGACTGATTCACAACGCCAACTGCTGACTGGAGAGCCAACCATCTTGTGCCACGCTATGCAGGAAAATTTTCCAAGGCAATGAGGTGCAGAGGTAAACTTGTGACAGCATTGTCTAGTCCATTCTGAATAACACACCTGGCTCTTCTTTCTTCAAAAAGGACATTGTCAAGCAAGCCCTTTCAAGCCTGTCAGCAGTTAACAGTGATGCTCCTGATGAACAGAGGAATAACAAACGTCTTCACGTAGGGGTTTTTGCTGTTTCAGGAATTTCCTGTATTTCCTTGAGATGTTGCTCTGGAGGTTTCCAGGTGTGGTACCACATTGTGAAGCTCCTAATCATGGGGTCAAGAAGATCAACTTACAGAGAGACTTTAGATCCTACATCATTTTGACAGATATATATGTAATTTGGTACCTTTTTGCAAGGGGAGGAAATAAAAGAGAGAAAATCTAAATGACATCCTCTGGCCTGGCACTGTCCAATGTAAATCATATAGGTCATTTTAAGTTTTCTAGCATCTGCATGAAAAAAGTAAAAAATAAAGTTAATTTTAATAATTTATTTAGCCCAATGCATCCAACCATGGTTATTTTAATATGTAGTCAATGAAAAACTTGGTTAATTTCACAAGAAGTCTTTGCGATCTGGTGTGGACTTTAATCTTCAAATAAATCATAATTTGGAAAAGCCACATTTCAAGTGCTCAACAACCACATGAATCGTATTCCACAGTGAGGTCTAGATAAACAGACCTCAAATAAAGTACTGGTCTGATGATGGAGGATAAATAGACCTCAAATAAAGGCCCCAAAATAAAGTACTGACTGGTGACTGAGAGGAGTGTGGAGTTAAGTAACATTAAAGAAGTATAATTGGGAATACTGTACTTGATGATTGATTGCATGGGGGGAAAGGAGAAGGAAGGAGGGGCTTGGCAATTGTGGGTTTCTACTTCTGACTTAAGCAACTGACTTGTCAATAAGGCTGTTTAGAGAGAGACTGACACGGGCTTTGCTCACTTAAAATTGAGACAGCAATTTTTGATCACTGGAATTGCTAGTACAGTACAAGGAAAATAACCCACGGTTCAACCCATGGTTCTAGTTATGGCAATATTTTACACAAATGCCAGATTATAGTGATCTAACAATTGCTTTTTAAGAAAAATATTGTTTATATAACAGAACTATACATGGATTAGCAAGTCTTTAATACTGTTACAGGAAGAGACACCAACAGCTAATTCAATAACTTTAGATTTGCAGTGCATAATATTTACAAGCTACTACGTGCTTCTTTATATCTTTCTTCTCTAAAAATACACACTAGGCTTTATTGCCACATGTGCAACAGTGAACATTTTTGCAGTTTTATACTTATGTGCTTGTCTTTGGTTCTGGAAGCAATATTCCAAGTAATGCTACCTGGGCCTGAGACCTTTCCCTGGCAGGGTCTATCTGATGAAGGTATGATCAGATCTTAAAATCCAAAAGACTCAGCTTTCAGCTTTGATCAAATCACATCATTAACTGCAAGAGGTAGGATACCAGAGGTAACCAAGAACAAAATTTGTAGAAATTCAAACATTTCATAAGCTGCTGGCAGGTACTGGTAACCCACAGATGATAACTATGATGAAAAAATAAAATAATTAACATGGAAGGTCACAAATGTGCTGTTTTTATTGCTCTATAGTTACTATGTCAAAGGAATATTCTTAAAGTTGTTTGCAATACATAGAGGTATTATTATATTTGATTATGGGTCAAGTCTATTTAATTTGACCTTGGTATATCTTCAGAGAAACATTGCTGTCACTTTAACCAGCACATTCAGTCATCTTTAATAAGTTATTTGCAGAAATGCTGCTGCAGATTACTACAGATGCCCTAAATTAGAGGAAAAAATTGTCAGTATTCTTTTACTCATAAAGTCCATTTTCAACATCAGTTGTCAGTTTGATTCTATTTTTTCATGAAGGATTACAAGATTGTTTTGACCTCTTCAGTCACTGTTCTGCTTTTTTATTCATTAGTATTTTATACCCTCAAGAATGAGTTGTTAGAGTGGAATTGGACCAACGTGGAGTCCCACAACTTTGAGCTTATAGGACAAAGGCATGCAAAATGCATGTCTGGAGGAGAAAAATGAATCTTTTCTAGTCACTCTAAGTGTTGAAGAGGTTCCATCTAGCATTTATACAGCCTTACGTAATATAAAGAAAGCTTTGTTTTGATCACAGGTCCTTTTGTGGATGAAAACAACTGTTAGCTGGTGGTATGACAAATTGGCTTGTCCTGGGCCTTTGAGCTCAGAGCTGGTATTCCTCCTGGGTTCTGGTTGGTGTTTGGTACAGAATTTCCTTACTTGTGCTTTGAAGTACTCTAGAGTGCAGTTGGCCCAAGACTTGTTTTTTCCCTCAGACACTAACAGCTGTTGAAAACCAGCTTATTATCTTCCCATATACTATGACCCCAACTTAACAAAAATCATCCTCTAAAAATAGAAAAAAAATTTAGAAAAAAACCTTTCGATTACAAGGAGTTTCAGGTTACGAATTTGTAAGATGAAAAGGCAGTGATTATTCAAAACTTCAGATATTCAGTAGCCTACACATGTCTAAGCGTTGATCACATGTATATCCACATTTCATATTAATTATTTGAAACTGCTTCTCAGATTAGTAATATTTCATTATTACTTCTATCAAAAATATATATGCTATCCAGTTAAATATGAACCTTTCTGATTATTTATTTTTAAAATTCCAATTAAACTAAGATATGAACCTGAAATCTTTTTACCATGATCATATGTGGCTTACAATTTATGTATTAACAAATTTAAAATTATTTTTAGTATCTTTAAGTTTATCTTACTTTCTGCCTTTTCACCTGCTAAATACTGTTCTGATTTTTTTTTTTTTTGACCAATTCTGACCTTGTTTCCTAGGTTAATTGAGACATACATAGACAGTTGTCATTTAATCATTTCATTCTTGATTTTATCTATTTCCATAGGGCCATTTCCTTGTATGAAACAGTCCATATCACTCTCAAAATCTTCAAAAAAACCCTGTGCTGCATCAAAGTACTATTATAATATTAAACTCTGAAAAATATGCTTTTATAAGAGATCATGTATTTGGCTTTAGCTTTTCATTTTGTTTGGTATACAAATATACAACATTTTTCCTTTATCCCTAAAAAAAAATATTGACATAAAAGGCAGCTGGTGTTTCTTTGTTGAGTCTGAATCATATAAAATACGAGTGTGCAATTAAATATTTTGGAGACTATACTAACAGCTAAAACACAGAGATTTCTAGTAATCCAAATAATAAACCTGAGTTCAAAATGGAAAAGCCACTTTAAGAATAAAACTGTCTATAAATTGATGAAGTATGAAAAATAACAACACACAAGAAAAACTTATCATAATGCCTCAATTACATAAGTTATGTTAAACTCTTCAAGTTGGAAAATTTAAAACAAAAGACTAAGGTTTATTACAATTCCCATCTGTATTTTCGATTCCATTTTTCTTCTCTGAGATTTGTGAACTTTTCTAAATTCAGTTTATATAAAAAGCATTGCTTTTTTAAAATATGGAAGAAATACATGGTGTGATTCTCTTAAATTGTGGATAGAAATGTAATGGTTATGAGTTTGATGCTATAGAAAATATAACAAAATATAGAACATTTCATTATAGAATTATCTTGAATTAGTGTGGCTATACATCTCCCTGTTATGGAAAGGAGACAATTTTCAATGACAAAATTTTGAAAAGGCTTACATTTATCAATAAAAATAACAAATGAGGTGAATCCAAATGTAAATGTAGAAATTAATTATTGTCTATTAACATTATTATGAGGTAACTATCAAATAATTATGGATTTAAACGGGTGAACAAAAGGAAGTCCAGTTAGAAGTTTTTGATATTTGAGAGGCAATCAATGTCTTCCCAGTCTTACGACTACTCACAAAAAGAGAAAAAGAAAGAAAAAAGATCATTAGAATTTTATTAACTGTATGAATACATGTTATGAAAAAAATGCATATATTTTGAATTTTTAATTCAATTGTTAAGATTTAATTTTATTAGTCCTAATCTGTATTGCATGCTGGCTTTCTAAAGATTAGCTGTTAAATTGTTCTAATTTTGATATATTTTGTTTCATCTCTTATTGCTTTAGGCAGAATTATATTTAGTGTTTAGTACAGTTTCATTGATTATACTATACAGTAATTGAATTGAAGAAAACCACCAATTTCTGAAGGAAATAAATTTAAATGCTGGAAGACCTAGAAACTAGAAAAACAAAGTGTGCTGGATTTTTTTACAGTTTAGAAGTAAGGTTTTAAGTATTCATTTCTTTTGGTACATGTAAAATGAATGTAACAAGTTTTATTGTGAACCTAACAATTAGTGTTATGTAAAAATAATAACACTTAAAAAATGTGTATAAGTATATGGAATCAGTATGGCGTTAGCCGTAGCAAAATTGTTCCATAAATTTTATAATGCATAGTTCCTGGGGAAAGTCAATTCCTTAGTTTTATAAAATGAAGTACGTCATAAATCACATAAATTACCATTGGGTATTTAGCATATTTGGATACATTTTCAAAATTCTTTATTTCAGAATAACCAACTGAAGGACATAACTGCTACTTTTTGGCAAAATATAGCAGAAATAATATTTCTATACTCAATAAAGTTTTCTGAGATAAATTCCAATATTAATGTAATTATCCACACTTAAGTTCATATATTATGACTATATGTTGCCAAGGAAAATTTATCTATTAGTTAATTCAAAGTAGAGTTTTGTATTTAATTTTAAATATTTGAAGTTCCATGATAACTCATGTCATACGTGTGCAGAAGAATGGCAACTTTTAAAAGAATCATCATAAATCTTAAAGTAAAATTTAAATATAATTTTGTTGGATTGCTTAATATGTGTTCTATTCGTTTTAAAAGAAAATAGTCCTAATAAAATAAATCTCTACCTTTACTCTTAAATGTCATTTCATTTAAGCTGAGGAACCAATAAATATACACACTTACCAAGTTTAAAGAAGCTAGCCTAAGTTTAAAATAATTATAATTGTGAACCCTACAAGAGCTAAGGAGCTTACCTTTTCACATAATCAACCTCTTTATAAGGTGTTACTTGATATTGAAATCTTTCATGAAACATTGGCATCGATATACCTTTTCTTCAGGAAAACTCAAGTATATTGTGAATGTAGGATAAATACTACGTAATGTATGGTTTTAAATGATGTTTATATGGAAATTTTATAATAAATTTTATAATTTTTACCATTCTTCTTGATATCATTAGGTAAAAAGGCATCTTTTCAATGTTGAATTTTATGGATGTGAACACTGAAGTAGCTATTATAGGAAATGCTAGAGATTTTTTTTCCTGTTGTTATTACATTTTCAAATTTTCTCTATAACCTACAACATAAAATTCAGTATTCTATCTTATTCCAAGTAATATAATAAATGAAAATTTAAAAATCTTTATATAAAAATTAATACATATTTAGAAATCCAGAGAAAATTGAAGTCATATTTAATTCTGGAATTCACCAAGACTTCCTTTTTAGTCCTTCATTTTTTCTTTCCAAATATTTTCCTTATATTGTGTTTTCTGTAAGAAAACTGGACCTCATAATTTTTGCTGATATTAAATGTTTTCTGTCTTCAGTTAAAAAGACCTTTCTTGCTAGCTTTGTTTTCATTGCATGCCTTCAGAATGACTTCCTCCTTTTCTAACCTTTCCTAAATTTTTCTTCCCAGGTTCCTGGCCCCACAGTTCCAGAGGCTGACTGACTGGGGCAGGTTGTAGAGAAAGTTCTGGACATGTTGTTAACATCTGACACAGTGAGTGAGAAAAAAATCCAGCACAGTCACTGGGCAGGTTTAAGAAGTGGCAGCTCCTGGAGATGAAAGGTTTGTGTGGGCTTGTTTCTAGTTACCTGCAACACACTGGTTAAATTCAAATCCAATCATTTAGTAATTGCTTAGCTTCCTCTAAACCATTGTAATGCAAACCAAAAGGACCATTGTGGATGTTTTGTACTGATGTCTGCAGATCATGTGTTATTTTAGTCTGTCTTGTCTGACGTTTTCCACAATGCTTTTGGTTGACAGCATTATATTATGTAAATATTTCTGGTTAGGTTTATTGAGGTGGTTGCCTAAATCTCACTTTAAATAAAGCCTTTAATGCTTTCACCTAGAATCCATAGAGAACCTACATGAATTGGGGAAGTTTGGGGTTGCTCTTTGTACTTTAACTTTTAATATTAAAGCACATATTGAAACCATAAACACAATGAAAATACAAAAAATATTCCAACGATATTGGAGGACTATAACTCCCCCACCTCTTTTTATTCTTAAAGAGCCAAGGGCATGGGGAGTGGCAGGAAGAAATATTCTTAAGATCTAAGTCCTGGACGCCATCCTGCGAGTGCTTAAAACCCCTAGAAACGTGCAACCTGAACATCACCCCCTTTCGAAGTCTAAAACAATATTAGATTCCCAAAATGTCGGTAAAGAAAATCTTACCGTCAAAGGCTTGCAGCAGGTTTCAGCTCAGACCCAGACTGAAAAGCTGAGCAGCTGGTGAACAAAAGTTTTAGTTTTTTTTTTTTTTTTTTTTTTAAACGAAGTCTGCAAAACTAATTTCCCTCAAAATAGAGCTCAATTTCCGTTAAAGAAAGCAGCGCTTACAAATCTCAGAATTCCTGATCAACCCCCACTCCACCCCACCTCTAAGCAATAGAAAACAATTCGATCTTTCACACGAATGTTATTTCGAAGCCACCATTCTGCAGCGTGACTTAAAAGAAAAGAAGATAGTCAGGCTTAAACAGTGGGGCTGGAAGAAGAGGGGAAAGGTTCTGCTTTGGGGACACCTCTCAAAGATTAATCAATACTTTTTCCTAATTCAAACCAGATGTCTAGCCCAGTTTGCTGTACCCATTAATCCCATTAACAACTTCAAAGACCTGGTCATCATCCTCTGGACACCTGAGACAATGAAAATAACAGGGCGACACTGCTGGTGGTGCATTCGGGGCCCTGGGCGAAATAGGTGACTACAGATATTCTCCTGATGCGACACGTCCCAGATGGGACATGACTATTCCTCCTGCTCATTACAGCACCATTCACTTGTGTATAAACGACTGTGCCCCAGCGGATCTTGTCGCCCACCAAGCAAGTGGCAGTATCAAAGTCCTGTCCTTGCTCTCTCATGCTTACTGGAGGCAAGTTATCGAGTTTATTTTCAGGGATGCAAAGATGTAACCAAGTGCCCAAGCTTAGTGAATTCTTAGAGCTATCGAAATTTAAGATTTCTCAGTAAATGGAGCCGTGGTGGTAAGAGATACGATTAGTGGATTTATTTTTGAGCAGAAGAGAGTGGATTTCTGGAGGGAACTGAAGAGCCCTGGGCTAGCTCCTGAGGGGAAAGGCAAGAAATGTGCGTGCAATCTACACATCTCATGTGACCGGGACAAAATTGCTTGGAAATAATTCTTGACCCACGAAAATTTCTTCTTGGTGGACAAGTGGCTAGGAAATTAAGCGAGACCAGGAAAAAGGGGGGAGGGAGACCCCACCGGGCATCGCACGTGAGGATGCCAGGGAGCAGGCATCTGCAACCCTCTCAGACTCACGCTTTCCTCCCACTTACCCCACCAGGTCTTCCTTCTTTCCACACTGAGAACCACACTTTCCAGGCCGTGGTGCACATCCCCGAAACCTCAGACCTGGCGTCCCAACCCATTAACCACCCACCCACAGAAACTAGCTGCGAAAACCTAGGCGCACTGCGGCGCCCAGGGCACGGGAAGAAGCGAAGTTTGAAAAACTTCGAGAGTGCGCCAAACTAGCTCTGATCTTTTCCCTTAACCCTATCACTTCTTTCGTGTTCCTCAAAGGCTAGGCGTAATCCCTAGCTTTTCCGCAGGTGACACTTCCCAAATGACACTGAAAAATTACGTTTTCCCAAGAGAAAAGTTAGTAGGTAGGAAACAGGGTGCTCGCTTGGCGCTGGTGCGCGCCGCGCCCTGGCCTCCAGAGTCTGAAGGGTAGAGCCGCTGCCCTCCTGGGCGGGATTTAGACGCTGGCGCGCCGCTTGTAGTCCTGGTAGCTGGCAGGACTAGGCGGGCGTGGACGCTCTGCGTCTGTCCAGCCGGCGATAGGAAGTGGAACTGGGAGCGCGCGCGTGGCTCAGACTGAGCGGGAGTTTTGGAGGGAGTTTGCATGTGGTCAACTCTGGGCTCCTAAGCCAGCCCCCAGCTCACGTTACAGTCTATTTATAACCTCTCAGAGCCATTTCCCACTGAAGGCAGTTCACTGGGACCACCTTCTTTTGGCTTCAACGTCTCCCACTCTTGACATCTGAGTAGCTCAGGGAAGCTCTTCCAGGTCCGACTGTTCATATGTAAAGGAGACTGGCCGCTAGGGCTCAGGACCGGGATTATCCGAGGTCCGCAGAAGTGCACGGCTATTGCTTTGAGAGGGGGAAAAGACATCACACGGTTTCCAGTGAAAAGTGACAGAGGGTGGTGGCCTTTGGAACCGTCGTGAAGTCTTCTGCCTGGAACCCGAAACTTGCATGCTATGGAACACCCGCTCTTTGGCTGCCTGCGCAGCCCTCACGCCACGGCGCAAGGCTTGCACCCGTTCTCCCAATCCTCTCTCGCCCTCCATGGAAGATCTGACCATATGTCTTACCCTGAGCTCTCTACTTCTTCCTCATCTTGCATAATCGCGGGATACCCCAACGAAGAGGGCATGTTTGCCAGCCAGCATCACAGGGGGCACCACCACCACCACCATCACCACCATCACCACCATCAGCAGCAGCAGCACCAGGCTCTGCAAACCAACTGGCACCTCCCGCAGATGTCCTCCCCACCGAGTGCGACTCGGCACAGCCTCTGCCTCCAGCCCGACTCCGGAGGACCCCCAGAGTTGGGGAGCAGCCCGCCTGTCCTGTGTTCCAACTCTTCCAGCTTGGGCTCCAGCACCCCGACCGGGGCCTCGTGCGCGCCGGGGGACTACGGTCGCCAGGCACTGTCACCTGCGGAGGCGGAGAAGCGAAGCGGTGGCAAGAGGAAAAGCGACAGCTCAGGTAAGAGAGCGCCAGGCACCCTCGAGAGTGCGCGCCGGCCTGGAAAGGGGGCGGGGAGATGCCAGGGAAGAGTCTGGCACTGGAGGGTGGCGGCGGGGAAGATGGGAATGTGTTAAATTCGGCGGTGAATCTTTGGTCCTGTTATTTGGGGACACGTGTTTATCCGAGAGCAACACAGCTAGCAGCTCTAAGCTCTCCAGGGTTCTAAACTAGTTTACCAGAAGGTTGATAAAAAAGGACAAGTGGCTGTGAAATCGATTGCGAAGCGTGACCTTCCATCCCAGCGCTGGGGAGGGAGGGGCGTGTGCCCAGGGATGCGGCGTCCGTTGGGCAGGCGTGCCTGCGGGTGCCGCTTCTTGACTTTTCTCTTGCAAGTTCCCGACTCTGAGTGGCTCGATTTTTCCCATCGTTAACTGGATTTCCAAATTATTGCACAACATTTGGAACTTGCAATGGAACTTGGCAGAGCGCATGAGAAAAAAAAAGTTTTAGTTTAAAAAAAAAAAATTCTTGTTTGAGAGTTCTTTAAATAGCACCCTATTTCAAATGGTAAAAATTTCCCCTTCTTGGGGAAGAAGACATTATCTAGGAATTCAGATTTTAAGGAATGTGTCAGAGAATTGTAAATAAATACATGCTCACGCTGGAAGAAAGACGAACCTTAATATAGTACACGTTCGTGTGGTGTAAGTTAATCACAGAATCTAAATTTCAAGAGTGGAAAATAAATCCTTCTACCAAGTGGGTTTTAGCAGCGGCAAATACTGGGAAGCGAACAGCAACTCGGGTAGTGTTAGTTAGCTACGTGCCTGAAGGTGGTATGCAAGGGTGCGCGCAGGAGGCGCTGGTTTCAGTGGGGATAATTTGAGCAGCGACGCAAAAAGGGAACCTTCCTGACCTCTGGTGCTTGAAGGGACAACTTGCCGAGTAAATTGTAGCAATCCAGAGAAACTAAAAGTTTTCCAGGCAACTTTTCAAAGCTCTTACCTACTTCTATTATCATAAAATTGTTAAAAGATACTTTAAAATTGAGAGACTTGTGAGTTTTCTTTCGTGGCTATGGTGCAGACTGGCTTCCATCTTTTTGGAAGGTGTCATTTGTTTAATCTAATATTTGTATATTTTTCTTCCTCTGCGGAACTGGGTTAATAATAGTCCTAGTAGGTAATCCCATATATTGGTTTGAAGGATTGGAATGTTTATCCTTTATAAAGCTTTAGGTGAGATGTCACATAAATGAAAATGATTGACCACATGTTTAATATTCCTCTCCCCTTCGCAGCAATATCAGTCGTTCTTCAGCGTTAGCATGGGATAGATTCTTCTGTCAGAGTTTCAAAAACTAACTTTTATTTTCCAAGGTCGGGGTGAACTTTTAATGTTCCATCACAAATTAGTTTTTATAAGAAAGTTAGCAGTGGTGTCACTGATATTTACTGTATTTTCCTAACTATAAGTGAAATTCCCTTTAGATAGTGAAAGGTTAATCGTTGTAAGAAGGTTTCAATTTTTATTAGAAAAACCATCGATTTTAGAATGCAGTGACAATTTTATAAACTGAACATTCGATATCAGTGTAACTTTTGAAAGAGATCCCAGTTCAGGCTGATGAGAGTACTCTTGCAATTCCCATAAGCGCTTACTGTTCATTTTATTTTTCTGCAATGAGAAACCTACGTGATAGCCTTATGCTTCCAGAACTGAGCCATTGCCCCTAAGTTTTTTAGGGCAAACTGAATTTTCATACAAGCACATGTCATTTTGTTTGGGGGAAACCAAGAAAGTGGAATTCAATAACTGATTCCCTTAATTTATTTTAATAAAACGTATTTTTTTTAAAAAATGGAGTAATTTAACAACACTTATTTATCTCTTCCCCCAACTGTGTGGGAAATAGCCATTTAATAAAGTTAAGTTCATTTCTACATGTTGAAGCGGATAATGAGGGTAATGGAAAAACAAACAAATATAAGTGTTTGCGTCAGCTGAATAAATTATGAATAAATTAAAACTTGAGTGGAAAGTACAATTAGTCATCACCAAGGATAAAAATGCTGGGTACTTAGAATGAGCTTTTCTTTCGTTTGGTATTGTGAAGCTATATTGATTAAAAAGAAATATCACAATATTTTCTGTTTAAAGCTATGTGTATTTATTGAAAATAAAATTTTATTTGCTAATTTCAGCTTGAGGTAATTAATATTTGTCAGATATTCAGATAGATTTAAATTAAATATATATTTCTCTTTAATGATGGCATTAGGTTTTCTATAAGTAAAGTTGAAAATGATTATGATCCTGATATGCTATTAATACATATATCTCTCATTGCTTATAGCACATTTTAGTATTTCAGTGTTTCTAAAAAATAAAATTGAAGTGAGCTGTGAACTGAAATTTAAACTTGTGTTAGATAAAAATCTCATCCTATATAGTGAGATGATTTGCATGTTGTTAGGTAGTTTATAATTACTTTGTATTAATAGTTGAGAGAAAATTTAGTACATAAATCCAGGGTTAAGTCAGGACCATAATTCTGTATCCCTGCATCTAATAGCTAGACTGTATGTGTCTGTGCCAATTACTGTGTTAAATTCTAAAAGAATTTTAAGCACCAGAAAATATTGAAAAGCAGCTTTAATATTTATAAACCTTAAAATTTTATTCATAGTAACGATTTAAGACTGTAATATGTAAGCTTCTCTAGCATATATTTTTATGCATTTTCCCTCCACAAATGTACATGGACACACACATATACAAACTCTAGAAGCTTCATGTTTTGGAAGCAAATTTTTATGGACTTTAGGCTTCCTTTACAGTTTGTTGACAATTGAAAATAACCAAATTTAATAGAAAAGCACACTGTTATATTTTATATGTGTTAAACATTTTTGTAACTTTGAACCTGCTACGCTTTCCATCATTATTAGCAAAGCCAACATCTGCCACGTCTTCAAAGGGACTCTTAAAAATCAAAACTTTACAACTGTGCTGAAAAAAAAATCACTACAAAGCAGGTGATTCTGAAAAATGTCTATAAATAGTGTGAATTACTTGGCTTCAATTACATTTGATTGCTCTTTGAGCAACCTAGTAGTAGGCATAAACTGCCCACTTTTAGTTAAAGTAACTACAGTTGATTCATTAATCTAAACTTTGCTTTTCTGCATGCATTATACATTGTACATATCTAGATATTTTCTATTCAAATTAATTTATGAATACATATTTTATAAAAAATGAAAAGTATATCAAAAAAGAAATGAGTGATTTGGGGAGGTAGACTTTACTAGGTTTTGAATCATATTAGGTTCTTGTAAAATGACAAATATTTTATTTATAGCTACTATATCATAAAGCCTTTGCTGACAAATTATATCTGTCTATATGCTTGGCTATGCAGGATGACAAGCAAATATTACATTTAATAAGCTGGAAGTTAAACTCAGAGTAATATCTTACTCAACTTCATTCAGAATTATATTGTAATATTTCCAAGATATTTCAGTCATTGTGTGTTCTGAAAGGAATAAAGTAATGTTATTCATTTCTGTGTTACTGGATTGTGGCTTTTCAGCATTTGCTTTAGAGTTTAAAAAAAGTATACTGGACCTTGAAGATTATAGGGAAGTACTGAACAAATCAAATGGAGTAAGAAAACACCACTTTCATTCTTTTTCTTGGAGTGGTAGATTAATTTTAGGTGTGAACATTTAAAAATGTTAATCTTTTTGTCCATTTAAAAATGGACATAAAAAATTCTAAGTATCATCATTGACAAACATGAGTGTTCTAAAATGATTACACTCAAGTTAAAAGCAACAATTCCTTAGGAATTAACATGTTTTATTATTGAATGTTAACAATGAATGGAGGGAGGAATGCAAATAAAAGTAGGAATAGTTTCTACTTCTGTGTAAATTTCTTTATTTATTGTTTATTTTAAAAGGAAAATCATACATGGAAGGCATGATATTGCACAAACTTTC